TATTTGACCTTCTTTACTTCTATACTCCGGCTAGAAGCCTACGATCCTGTGACCAGGCCTTGTTGGTGGTCCCTCACGTTAGGCTTAAGCGTAGAGGGGAGCGTGCATTTGCAGTGGCAGGGCCACGACTCTGGAATACCCTACCTTTAGAGATTAGAATGGCCCCTTCTTTGTCTGTTTTTAAGTCCTTGCTAAAAACTTATTTGTTTTCCTTAGTGTATTGACTACCATGATATGGTCATTTTTAAACGTGCGGTTTTAAAATTTTGTCCGGTTTGTTCTCTGTGTATATGGTAAAATTGTTGCTCTTCTGGAAAGCACTTTGGTCAGCCTGGTGGCTGTTGTATATGTGCTCTACAAATAAAATGAACTTGAACTTGAATGTTTATTCAAAATGAGTGAGGATCTACATGAGGGGTTTATTACAGTGCATTGAAATAGATCAGATTCCCTCACTAGTGTGTTTAAACGTTGTGATCTGTTGTATGTGTCTGTCTTCAGGAGTGGATATCTAAAGGACATGGTGAATACAGAGAGATCCCAAGTGAGAGGGATTTCTTTGCTGAGGTTAAAGAAAGCAAAAGTGTGGTCTGCCATTTCTACAGAGACTCTACCTTCAGGTATTTGAGGACATTTTTTCCCTTATATTATCCTTGTATTTTGGATTATAAATCAAATGTGCAAACAGATATTTTCAGTGTTTAATTTATTTTCCAAAGATGCAAAATTTTGGACAAACATCTAGCTGTTTTGGCGAAGAAACATCTGGAAACAAAGTTCATCAAACTAAATGTAGAGAAGGCTCCATTCCTAACCGAGAGGCTGAGGATCAAGGTCATTCCCACACTGGCTCTGGTGAAGGACGGGAAGACTAAGGATTATGTTGTGGGCTTCACCGATCTGGGTAACACGGATGAATTCCCTACTGAAATGCTGGAGTGGAGACTGGGCTGCTCAAATATCATTAACTACAGGTAAGTGAAGGAGATAGTACGATAGTTAAACACACTGAGGTGGTACAGGGTCAGGCCACCATGCAGGAGCACCAGAGTTGTAAGAGCAGGGCATGGTATTTCGATGTAACAATAGCCGGGTTTCCATCCAAAGTTGCGAAATTAACTTATGCGCAAAACTGGAATATCGCATAAAACATACGCGAACAAGCATCGTTTCCATCCAACAAGTCAAAGAGAACACTAAACACAAAATCGTCACCTGATAAACTGGCACTGTAAATCACTAAGAAAAGTAGGAGAATATAATAATTTTCGTACATGATAAATTGCTTGCGCCTCAGAGCGAGCAGACGAAAACGAAATGAATAAACATTCATTGCTTTCGGAGGTGGATGCTGCTGTTTGGGAACGCAGTCGTGTAAGACATTTCTGGGAGGCAATTATACAGAAATACTTTGATGACAGACTTTGCTCGTGCATTTCCGAATGACCATAACAACATTTCAGATGCTGTGGAATGAGATTGGTCCGCTGGTTAGTCAGGTTTTGCTGTCCCATAGCGCAAAGTCACATGACTTTTTTGATGCGCTTGGAGGAATTTATTTGCAAAATGCATTTCCATCTCCCATTATTCGCACAAGTCAAAAACCACCTCAAGCAAGCGTAAAAACTTTTTTGCGAATTAAGGGATTTTTATTCGAAATTGGGTGTTTCCATCTCATTTCTCATGCAATACTTCAAAATGCTAATTAAAATAGGGTGATGGGAACATAGCTAGTGTACTGTCTGAGTTTGACGGATCGATGGACAGATATGCATTGATCTGAACACGCCTCCTTGGATTAACATACAATGATGGCGCATGATAAGAGGCGTGTTGAAGAATCATGTCACGATCCTACCAATTTCTGGGCATGGATAAAAAAAAAAAACATTTGCATTTTAAACTAGGGAGTTAGTTTTGAGTTCTGAAACTTGCAGCATGTTTTTATTCTAGAGGGACCTACAATAAAAAAATATATTTTTTTACATACATAGTATATGTGTAAATATCAAAACATTTTGATTTCCATTTCATGATCCGTTTAAAAATTTAATTTATTCCTGTGATGGCAAAGATGCATTTTCAGCAGTCATTACGCCAGTATTCAGTCACATGATCCTTCAGAAATCATTGTAATGTGCTGATTTGGTGCTCAAGATACATTTCTTATCAGTGTTGAAACCATGATTTTTTTTCAGGATACTTTAATGAATAAAGATTTAAAAAAAACAGCATTTAAAAAAAAAAAAAAATTATCATGTAAATTTCTTTACCTTCCTTGCTGAATAAAAGTATTAATTTCTTTACATTTATTTTTTATTAAAACCACTTTTACATTTTTTATACACAAACACACTTTTCTGTCTTTTTTCCCCAGTATTCAGTCACATGATCCTTCAGAAATCATTGTAATGTGCTGATTTGGTGCTCAAGATACATTTCTTATCAGTGTTGAAACCATGATTTTTTTCAGGATACTTTAATGAATAGAGATTTAAAAAGAACAGCATTTAAAAAAAAAAAAAAATTATCATGTAAATTTCTTTACCTTCCTTGCTGAATAAAAGTATTAATTTCTTTACATTTATTTTTTATTAAAACCACTTTTACATTTTTTATACACAAACACACTTTTCTGTCTTTTTTCCTTCTATAGTGGGAATCTATTGGAGCCACCAACTATTGGACAGAAGTCAGGGTCAAAGTTCACCAAGGTGGAGAAAAAGACCATCAGAGGCAAAGGTTATGACTCGGACTCAGAATCTGATGAAGATTAGAGGACTATAAAGCTCCGTCTTTCTCAGGGCTTCCAACATAACAGTCCTAAATCTTGTAACACCACTTTGTGGTCACTTTTTTGTTTGTATTTTTGCAGTGTCTATTTAATTTCTTCTCTTTCACCTTTGTCTTATGTTTGCCCATTTTAAGATGACTGAATACCACCTGATAGTGTATTTATACTTCATTTCATATCTCTTTAGGTTTTAATGTACAGAAGCGAAACTTTTCTATGGAACATAATTCTGGTGAAGGTTCTGTCTTTAGTGCTGATTTATCATCTAAGGAAGATTGAGTTTTTGCAAGACAGAAGAATCAGACGCATTTAAACAATGGTGCAAACACAAACTCATTATTTTTGCCTCTGATAATGCTCAGATGTCCGATCAGTGAGCATTGAACAAGTGCCAAGGAAGCAAACTTCTGTATTCCACTAAGAATTTCCACCTCTTTCTCCCATTGATGTGAAGGATGTGCATTTTCTTCCTTTTATAGCAGTACATGACTTATTAAAAAAATTATATAATATGGCTGTTTTGTTCATGTCAATGAATAATTTTTTGTCTCACTGAACATATTAGTGATTTAAATATTACATCACCTGAGTGACTGATGTTTTGTAGAAGACAAAGATCTAGTAATTTACATTTTACATTCATGCAATTGGCTGTCACTATTATCCAGAGCATCTTACATTTAATTTGAAGTACACATTTACATTTGATCAGTTCTTGCGTTCCCTGGGAATGCTCTACTGTTTGAGCTACAGTAAAGAAGACTGCTATTCAAATCTTTATTAAACAACAAAAACACAGCACAAATGGTAGGCCACAAAAATTCTATGACTCGATGGCTTTTTGCTCAAGTGGTTTGAGGAGACGTTTCACCACCAGCTCGCCTTTGCTATTCAGATATGTGTTAGCCATGTCCTCTTCAGCAGGCAATCCATAGGGAAGCTTGAGAGGCTCAATCCTGCAGATAAAGATATTATTTTAATATGTTTATTCTAATGGTCAGCAATCATGTTAAACTGATTTAAATGTGCAAGTCCAGCTTACCGAACTAGATGCTTAATGATTTTCAGTAGATTGTTCACTGATGAGGTGTTCTTGTGGATACGGGGTTCATGTGCCTGGTGATAAAGAACATGTATTGAATAATATTTCACTTAAATTTGATCCTTTCTTATTAGAATACTGTAATTTTACAAAAAGATGATCACATCCCACCTTCATAAGCCCCAAACTCTTCACAACCTTCTTTTCCCAATAGGGTCGTCTCATTGTGCTTTTAACTCGTGTCACTATATGCAGTTTATGTGGGTGTTCTGGATCACCACCAAACTTGTCATGTTCTTTTGCTCGTTCCTCAAATACCTGAAGGACGAAAATATGGTGTGATGTCATTAAGTTCAATATAATTAATCGAATAAAACGATGCAAGTACATTTGAACCGTCATATACCTGTGGAGGGATGCGACTCTTAGTGAATTTAGTGCGACATGATGTGGCTTGTGTCAGATTCTGCAATGACAGCTTTAAAAAAAGGTCTCATTAAACACTTTTTTTGACATGGTTATCAAATCAATTACCATGATGAAATGTGAAAGAATCTCACCTTTGTGACACTGGAGGCAGATGTTAGAAGAGCTCGATACAGTCCTGCCATGATTACACAGACTGGCGTTGACTTGAACGCTAACGTTACTTAGGAAGGTTATTAGCTAGCAAGCTAGTTATAATTTAACATGTCCAGTTCAACACTCAATAAATGGACTAACGTTATATAGTGACCACAACCGCATGAAATAATTTAATGTTATTTACTCAAATACCCATGTTATTGTGATATTTTAACGGATAAACGTACCATAACAACTAACTACACTACAATGCATGCATGCATGTCAAATAGGTTGACTTGGAAACGGAAACGACTCTGCGTTAAAAGAGTCATTTCAAAATAAAGGTTACCCATCCGGAGCCTTAGAACGGTTCATTTCAAAGAACCGGTTAAAGATTATTCCACGATTCTGCTTCGATATTACATGTTCTAAAACTTTCCAATGAACATATAAGCACACATTGTTTATTACCGTTTTATTAAAAAAGTGTAGTGTTTAATTAACAGTTAATGTGTTTATTGTAATTTCATCTTGAACCCAAGTATATAATTTACATTTACATTAAACAATAATAAATCTCTTGGTTGTTTTTCCCCCTTGCCTAACTAAATTATTAAATTATGCTAACTAATTCGGACGTTCTAAAATAAATGTTCGAAAGAGACGATTTTCAGTTCAGCCAAGTTGTTTACTCAGAACGAATCGTTCAGACTGTTCAACAGATTCACTAAAAGGTCCGACTCGACTGAACGATTCATTTATCAAATATAAATCACTCTTCCGCAGTGGCACCATACTCATTTGCAAAACGCAAAAGTTCGTAGCCTTTCAAGTTCATTGCGATCTTCGTTGAGTTTGTGGCTTCGTTTCGCTTAGAGAATGGGAAAGCGTGTAGCTGTAGTGTTGGCAGGCTGCGGTGTCTTTGATGGAAGTGAAATCCACGAGGCGTCAGCAAGCTACTGTAAGTTTACATGTGAACCTCCGATTATCAGATCTAAAAATCTCCACTGCATAGAATGCAATAGCAGAGGTCAACAGAGCATAGTATAATACCAATGCAACAAACAGTTGATCCATCTAGAGCACATGAGTAGTCAAGTTGATTTCTTTTTTTATCAGATCACTAATTTAAACATGGACATGGCACAACCATATGAATGGATTGTAACGCATTGCACTGTCTTCACTCCTGACAAAGAAGCAGCACCTCTTTTCCCATTTTTGATTATCCGGGAGTGACGCGCTGTGACGCGCTGCCAAGATGGCGACGGCCGGATCCGCCCACTTTGAGCTTCAAAAACGTTCTTTAGAAATGGACCTATGAGTGATGTCCAAGCGGCAACCTCCCGCTCTCTCTCGTGAAGCCAACAAGGAAGTGACTTAAACTATAATTCGTCAACTGGCCGCTAGATGCTGGCTGCAAAAGGGAGTCAATCCCATAGACTCCCCATGTTATTAAAATACCCAACTTTACAGCAGAAAAAAACATGTTTACAGCCTGGTTCAAAAAAGTATTTTTGGTCTATATAGCTAATTTTGCCCTTCATGACAACTGTGAGGGGGGTGAATTTTTTTTATAAGTCATCCGTTTAAATTATATTAAGCCTTAAAGTTCTGCATAATTAAGGGCGTGGCCACTTGAGTGACAGGCAGATTGCTGCTGCTGTCACCACCTTCGAGCTAGGTGGGCGTGGTTTCAGCAACCAGCTCCCGCCTTTTTGCCCATTTTCGATTATCTGGGCGTGACGCACGGTGACGCTGCCAAGATGGCGACAGCCAGCTCTGCCCACTTTTGAGCTTCAAAAACTCTCTTCAGGAACCTACGGGTGACGTCACGGACACTATGTCCATGTTTTTATACAGTCTATGCTGATGTCACGGACACTATGTCCATGTTTTTATACAGTCTATGCTGATGTCACGGACACTATGTCCATGTTTTTATACAGTCTATGCTGATGTCACGGACACTATGTCCATGTTTTTATACAGTCTATGCTGATGTC